GAGAGAGAGAGAGAGAGAGAGAGAGAGAGAGAAAAAAAGTTAGAAAGTTTTCATAAAGTTCTAAAATTGTCAAAACTGTAGAGTAAAGATGTCGTCATAAAGCTGCATTATAGTTAAAAAAAATTTTAGATTTAAGAAGTTGTGTTATGCATGAGAAGTTGTCTTACAGTTAGAAAAATTCAAGGTTTTTTAGAATTAAGAAGTTGTCTTAGAATTAAGATGTTGTCTTATAGTTAATAAGTTGTCTCACAGTTTAAAAGTATTCTTATAATTAAAAGTGTTACAGTTAAAGAAGTTGTATCAGAGTTAATTGGTTGCATTAGAGTTAGGATTGCTGTCTAAAGTTAAGAAGTTGTCTTAATGTTATGACGTTGTATTCGAGTTCATTACTTGTCTTAGAGTTATGATTGTTGTCTTTGAGTAAAAAAGTTGTCTAAACATTTGAAGTTTCGTTCAGAGGTAAGATGTTGTTTTAGTGTTGAGAGTTGTGTTTAAGTAAAAATGTAGTCGTAGGATAATGAAGCTGCCTTACAGTTACGAAGCTGTCGTGGAGTTAAAACCGATATATGAGTTAACACGGGGTCTTAGAGTTTAGCTGTCTAAAAGTTGTAATGAGGCTGTGGAGTTGTCACAAAGTTCTTAAGTTGTCTTAAATAAGAGCTAAAAAGCTGCCCTAGCATTGAGAACTTGACTTAGAGTTCAGACGTAGAACCCGATTCATTAAGTTGTTCTGGAATGCAGCAGTTGTCTTGAATAAAGATGTTCTCTTAGAGTTAAAAAGTTGTCTTAGACATCTCATGTTGGCGCGGAGATAAGAATCTGTCGTAGAATTAATAAGTTGTCTTAAGGTTATGATGTTGTCTTAGAGTGACGAACTGATATTAGAGTTCATATTGTGTCCTAACGGTTAGTTGTCTAAAAGTTGTCTTGGAGCTAAGAATATATCTTTGTGTTCAGAAGTTGTCTTAGAAGTGATGGTTCTTGAAATTATAAAAATGTCTTGGAGTTATGAACTTGTATTAAAGTTAAATAAAATTATTATAGTTAAAGAATTTAGTTGTATCGTATATATCGTATTGTATCGTAAAACGTATGAAAAGATCTTTTGTCTTAAAATAATGAAATTATCGTGTCGTTCAGTAATGATTTGAAAGTTAAAATGTTTTCCTAAATTTACAAAGTTGACTATGAGCTCATCTATATGAGATATGCTGTTAATTGACAAGCTGGTGTGTGTAACAATTCGTATAGAAAAGATGCCATTGATTTAAATGTATATGGCAATTTATATGTATATAGCGGGGATAACACATCGCTGCCTGCCTCACGGGCGAAAGTTGTACTGAAACTATTATATTGTTTTAGAGTTGGGAAGTTTTAATAAGGTTCTAAAATTATCAAAAATGTAGAGTCAAGATGTCGTCTTAAAGCTACATTAGAGATAAAAATTTGTTATCGATTTAAGAAGTTGTGTTATGCATGAGAAGTTGTCTTATGGTTAAAAAGTTGTCATATATTTAGGAAGTTGTCTCATAGTTGAAACGTATTCTGATAATTAAAAAATCTTACAGTTAAAGAAATTGCATAATCGTTAATTAGTTGTTTTAGAGTCAATATTGCTGTCTATAGTTAAGAAGTTGTCTTAAAGTTATAACGTTGTCTTAGAGTTCATTACTTGTCTTAGTGTGAAAATTGTTGTCTTTGAGTAAAGAAGTTGTCTTCAAATTAATAGTTTCTATCAGAGTTAAGAAGTTGTCTTAGAATTAAGGTGTTGTCTTATAGTTAAAATGTCGTCATATAGTTAAGAAGTTGTCTTATCGTTAAGGAATATTCTTATAATTAAAGGTCTTACAGGTAAAGAAGTTGTATCAGAGTTAATTAGTTGTCTTAGAGTTAAGATTGCTGTCTAGAGTAACAAAGTTTTCTTTCAGTTATGACGTTGTCTTAGAGCTTATTATCTGTATTCGATTTAAGATTGTTTTCTTTGAGTAATGAAGTTGTCTTAAAATTGTCTTAAAGTAGTTGCTATTAGAGTTAAAATGTTGTCTTAGTGTTGAGAATTGTATTGACGTTAAAATTATAGTCGTAAGATTTTTGCTAGAGGAACGCTACAGTTACGAAGCTGTCTTGGAGTTAAAAAGTTGTCTTAGACATTTCATTTTGACCCTGACTTAAGAATCTGCCGTAGAATTAAGATGTTGTCTTAGGGTTATGATATTGTCTTAAAGTGACGAATAGATGTTAGAGTTCATATTGCGGCTTAAAGGTTAGTTGTCGATCTAAGTAAGAAAGTTGTCTTGGAGTTAAGAATATAATTATATCTTTGTGTTCAGAGGTTGTCTTAGAAGTGATGTTTTTTAAAATTAGAAAAATGTCTTGGATCGAGTTATGAACTTGTATTAAAGTTATACAAATTTCCTTAGAGTTAAGGAAGTTGTATCGTATGTATCGTATTGTATCGTAAAACGTATGAAAAGATCTTAAAGACAGAAAGGAGTCTTAAAATTAAGAAATTGTCGTGTCGTACGTTAAGTAATGACTTTAAAGTTAAAATGTTTTCCTAAATTTACAAAGTTGTCTATGAGCTTATCTGTATGAGATATACTGTTAATTGACAAACTGGTGTGTGTAACAATTCGTATAGAAAAGATGCCATTGATTTAAATGTTACGGGGGATAACGCGTCTTTAGTTAGTGCTCAAATACTTATTATAGACTTGCGTCATGTAAAGAATAGAAATATATGTGTAGTCTAGTTTACATAGTATAACTAGTAATTATTTCTAATGAAAAATGTCACGTAGTTATGTAGAATACAGCACGACATCAGGAGGTTTCGTTTGTCTTTAAAGAAGATTTGTCCTGAAACACTCCACTTCAAAAACTGTTGGATCCACTCACTACCCTTTCATCTAATTCTATCTCATTGCCGTAAATTATAACGTGCTCACTGCTCTCCTTCTTGCCTCTCTACAGCACGCTAGCCCGACTTATTCCTCTTTGCTTTTTGCGTAAAACTACCACAAACCAGCAGGGGGCGTTACATGCCAGCTTACACGCAACAATGTGGACAGCCCCCTTTAATTACAACTTTTTTACGCTTGTCCTTGACTGTAAATGTGTTCTAATTCCCTGTTTTAATTATATGCAATAGCCTATATCCTTGACGGATTTTTCGAATTATGAGGGTGTCTTGCAGTCCTGAAACGCTCATGAAGTTGTGTTAGGGTTAGGATGTTAGATTAGTATTATAACGGTTTTTTAAAGTTGTATTGGAATTGTCAAGTTGTCTTAGAGTTACGCAGTTGTATTCCCGTTAGGAAGTTGTCTTGTAATTATAAAGGTTTCTTAAAGTTAGCAAGTTGTATTAGAATTGTGAAGTTGTCTTAGAGTTACGAGGTTGTATTGTAGTTAAGTGGTCTTTGAATTATAAACGTGTTTTAAAACTAAGAAGTTGCATTAGAGTTACGAGGTTAATTTAATTGTGTTGTAGTTAAGTTGTCGTTAAATTATAAACGTGTTTTAAAGTTAGGAAGTTGTGTTAAAATTAAGAAATTGTGTTCAACTGGGTTAAGACTATGAAAAAGCCGAACGAGATTATGTTTTTTTTCACGTTCTATTATTGTTTCTATCAGATATGTTCAAAGCATCGGCAAACGTGTCAACATTTGACCCGCAGTGTGGGCGCGGGCGACGATGATACGCTTTCTTCACCTATTAATTCGCGCCAGTGTAGCGCTGACAGCAAAAAGGTTTTTTGCTGTTTTCTGCGTCAACCTGATTGCTGTTCTCTGAGTTACCGCATGGTAAAAAACATGATCCACTCCTAACCTTTCATCAAATTCTATCTCATTACCGTAAATTATAGCGTGATCTCCTTCTTGCCTCTCTACAACACGCTAGCGCGACATATTCCTCTTTGCTTTGTGCGTAAAACTACCACGAACCACCAGATGGCGTTACATGCCAGATTACAGGCAACAATGTGGGCAACACCCTTTAATTACAACGTTTTTTACGTTTGTCATTGACTGTAAATGTGTTTAAGTTCCCTGTTTACAAAATGTGCAATCGCTTTGCCGGATTTTTCGAATTATCAGAGTGTCTTAAAATCCTGAAATTGAGTTAAAGTTAAGAAGTTGGATTAGTATTGTAAACGTTTCTTAAAGTTGTATTAGAATTGTCAAGTTGTCTTAGAGTTACGATGTTGTATTGTAGTTAAGTTGTCGCTGAATTATAAACGTGTTTTAACGTTGTGTTAGCGTAAAGAAATTGTGTTAAACTGGGTTAAGACTATATGAAAGAATCGACGAGATGATGGTTTTTTTCGCGTTCTATTATCGTTTCTATCAGATATTTTCAAAGCATCGGCAAACGTTTCCACATTTGACCCGCAGTGTGCGCGCGGGCGACGAGGATATGCACTCTTCACGTATTAATTGGCGCCAGTGTGGCGCCGACAGCAAAAACATTTGTTTTGCTGTTCTCTTAGTCAACCTGATTGCTGTTCTCTGAGTGACCGCATGGCAAAAACATGATTAATTCGCCGACAAATAGAACCTGTTATAATATCCCAACAAGTTTATATTAACCAGTTGCGCGCAAGACCTTTACGTTTACACTGCCGATTTGCTGTCGAATAATTGAAATATTCATCAAATTCGTCTATTATCTAACAAAAAAAGTAAATAGTGTAAACACAACTTTAGAGTTGTGTAGAGAAGTTACGATATTTCATTGACGGATTTGTATTGCTGTTTATTGTCATCATACATAGGCCTACTAATGTACGTAACAATGTTTCGATCGTGAGGGCGTAGAAAAGGTACCATTTATTTGAATATTAATTAATGTTAATTGGAACATCACTTTGTTTGGTACATTCGTTTCAAAGTTGAAGTGATACAAGATTGTTTCCTTTTTCTTTCCGGTCAATCAATAAATATATTTGTCACGTAAAAATACAGCGTCTAAAATAAACATGGCACTACTAAATTATCGATTTTTTTTGTTTGCGCTTGTTTAATGTCTCTTACATATAGACCTACATGTCGTGAGTGTGTATAAAAAAAGTACCACTGAATTGGATATTAATTCATGTTAATTGGAATAACGCATCGTCTGGAATAACATTCGTGCACAAAACTGAATCCAATGAGAAATTATTTACTCAGTGATAGAATGATTTATTAAATACATTTTTACAAAATACATACACAATATTCACGAGACATGTTCAAATTCCAATTAATTCATGACAGCAAAAACGACATATATAGGGGGGGGGGTTATATATTTATATAATATATATATA